ACATTCTAATAAAATTTCATAAAACAATTCTATCGGGAAAAGCCCAAAATCCAAAATAACTTGACAGCGGTTCCCGTGCGGGATGCCTGAGGAGATCATTTCTCTTTATAGAGAAAAGATCACACGAGAAGTCCACCTTAGGCTGAAAAATGAGAAGTTATTTATGCCGTTTGATTCCCTCATCTCGGCCCATCTGCACTGCGATTTGCCTTCGATCTTCTGTCTTTCATTGATGGCATTTTTGTCATTTTAACCATCTTTATACCTTTTATCGTATTCGACCGATCCCCTCATTCAGACCTAACTTTTTCATCCGTCAAGCTCTTTCTTCATCATTGATCACTCTGTTTTCTGCCTTGCTATTCTATCTGATTCACTACGGAGAAGATTGTATTGCAAAATTCTCCGAATTTCAACTTTCATCTATTAAATTGTATTTTTTATAATATTGAATTAATCATTGTTTTCCTAATTTTTTGTTTGATCGGTTTGTTTCCTACACTATTATGCGTACTACTTATATTTATTTTTATCTTTAGGCATAAAGAATTACTCTCTCTGTCCCAAAATTAACTTCTCATTCACTATTATATGGTTAACTTATATTATTCTGTAGTGTGAACAGAGATTAAGTTGCTTTATCGTTAGTCAAATATCATAATCCGAACGGGAAATTGTTTTAGGGACGGAGGTAGTATAATTTATGCTCTATTAGCTTACGTTTTGTTGCTCTTGTTATTAGTTTTTCAGTATAATGGATCAAGGTGATGATGTTGTTCATATTATGTCCACTCTAAGTTTGAACTCTTACATTTCTTCTAAAGAATAGAGTCCAACTGATCGTAAATCATTTGTTGGTATATTTTTCTATTCATTAAGAGATGCATTGAATTTTTACAATGACTGTGCTAGCATCTGTGTATTTGAAGTGCGCTTAGAAATTGAAAATAAGTATCGAGATGAAACTATTTTAAAGAAATACTTTTGCAATAAGAATGACTATAAGGGGATAGTGACAACCAAAATCGTGTTCTTAAAGCTAAAAAAATTAATTCTGGTCAAGGTACGTCTCATTGGAACTGCGCTTAAGAGAAGGGGTTGTGATGCTTGTATTGAAGTCTATTTATCTTCATGTGTTTCATATGCGGTTTACTATTTTCACGAGGCACATACACATCGATCAGTTAAGTACATCTATGAGTCAAATGTTTCATAAGCAAAATAGTAATCTTACTATTGTGCATAAGAAATTTATATTTGATAATGCAAAGCTTAACAAGGGACCTAGTTTGTCATTTCATATGATGAAAGATCATGTTAGAGGGTATGCAAACGTTGGAGCATCTTTGACTGATTTTAGGAATTGTTATCGTGATTTAAAAAAAGCGTTGCTCATTCCCGTTGTTCTTTTATTATGTGGTTGATGACACTCAAAAATTTATTATAGTATTTTGAGCATATGCATTGTGTAGGAAACATTATGCATTGTTTGGTGATATGATTACTTTTGATTCCACGTTTAGCACGAACAAATATTCATTGGTTTTTTCACCTGTTACTAGGGTAGATAATCATCGAAAATGTATTACATTTGGTTGTGCTTTGATTGCAAATGAGGATGTTGATTCTTACACATGAGGTTTGCAAACGTTCATGAGGTGTATGGGTGGTTGTCAACCTATAGGTATTGTAACAAATCAAGACCCTGCTATGAAAATAGTCATACCCAAAGTATTTGACAAGGCGAAACATAGGTTTTGAATGTGGCATATTATGAAAAAAGTAGAGTCTAAACTTTGTGATGAAACTGATTTTCATCGATTGGTTGCCTATTATGTCAGATTTAGGATTAGAGAATCATGATTGATTTCTGGATTTGTTTAATATTAAAGAAATGTGGATTCCTTCCTATTTCAGAGATATATTTTTAGGTAGAATTTCAAGATCTACTTTAAGATCGAAGAATGAAAATAATTTCTTTGACCGCTTCTTGAACTCATTCCTTTCTTTGGTTGAGTTTGCATTTCATTTTCAAAATGCCATTGAGGCTCAACGCTATGGCCATAACAAGTTGCATGTGAATTCGAAGAAATCATTCCCTCAATTACTAACGCCCTTGCCACCTGAGGAACATGCTCCGAAAATTTACACTGACTTTTTTTACTTGATTCAAAATGAATGGAAGGCTGCATGGTTTTCAAGTTTCAACGCTTCAGTACTGATGAGTCACGGTTGAATTATGTTTCTATTGTTGATAATATTCGTAGCAAAACTTATGACATTACCTATAATTCAGTTGATCATCATAGTTCTTGCAAGATGTTTCAGAGTGATGGTATATTGTACCATCATTTTGTCCATTATAAAAGGTAAGAATATTTAAGTGCTACCTCGTCGTTATATAGTGAGTCGTTGGACAAATAAAGCTTTAGAAAAGCCTATTTTTGACTTTTCTCAGAATCTGTTAGATGAATCCCCTTGTGGTGCTAAAAACAAGTTGGTGGGTGTCTTTGGTTTTCATTTTTTAGTAGTGTTTCTCTTGCTGAGAATTCGAATGACGATCTTCACAAACTGTTGGGTATGATGAAATCATTCAAGGATTTAATTCTTTCAAAACAGACTGTCGGTGATGTTACAAAAGGCTCAAATGACATTGAAAGTCTCTTAAGCATCAGTTCATCATCAGAATATAATATTCATCATCTCAACATTTCTGTTAATAAAGGCAAAAAAAGAGAATGGTTACCAAGCGTGATGAAGCTATAGTTAAGAAGAGGTCAAATATTGTGAGTAAGAGTGATGCGTGTGCCAATGATGATCAAGTCAAGAAGCCAACTTTTAGGTATTGAGCCAATTAGTTCTTCTTTTTAATAAAAGATTTCAACTGTTAAAAATCAATAACTAATGTTTATTAATGGTAATAAACAATCACTTATTAGTTGTCATCATTTACAACACATATGATACCTTTTAATCTAGTTGTACTCGCATCTTTTGCTTTTCTCTGAATTTCAACATTAGTTGGTATGCCCTCTGGTATTTCATATCTAATGAGCATTGGTTTGTTTTCAACTACTAGTGATATTCCTACAACTTCAAGAACAAAGAGAAAAGCTACATCATAAGGAAAAGCTAAATCCAAAAAGATTAAAGCTACAAGGTTAACACTTTTGCTTATGGCTTAATCTATTAACAAATACTCCGTATGTTCAGAAGTTCGAAAAAAACGTGGAATGTGTTTTTTAATTTTTTTTTAAATACATAATACATAATATAAAGATTTTGGAAGCAGTTTGTAGACTTCACGGTTTGATTGAAGTGATTGAAGATTTTTCTAAATAATAAGTCCAAGAAATTGGAAGTACTATTTTCAATCACTTCAATCAAACAGTAATGTATACAAACTATTGCCAATTTCTTTATATTATGTACTCTATATTTAATGAAAAATTTAAAAAATACATTTCACATTTTTCTTTTAAACTTTTGAACTTAATAGTTAATAGATTGAGGCATATGCAAAAGTGTTTACCTGGTAACTATAATCTTTTTGGTTTATCCTTCTTTTGAGATGCAGCTTTTCTCTTTGTTCTTGAAGTTGTAGAATATCCCTCGTAGCACACTTACTTTTGGCATATGCCAATTTTGAAAAGGGAAAATGAAAAAATAAGAAGAGGAGAAGAAATAATTGAAAAAGAACAAGGTTCAATAGATATGAATACCAAAAGGCATGCCAACTGACGTTGAAATTCAAAAAAAAAAAAAGCAAAAGGTGTGAATACAATTTATTTAAAAGTTATAATATGTGTTGTAAATATCAATGATAATAACTAATAAGTTTTCTGTTGATTATAATTATTAGTTACTCTCTCTGTATTTAAATGTTTACTATAATAGCTTTGGGCACATTATTTAAGGATGAAATAGTAAGGATAATGACTAGTGTAGAAAAAGTAGAAAATATGGTGAAACGAAATGAAAGAGAAGATAAAAAGTAGAAAAATAGGGGCAATTGAGTATCTTTAAAGGAAAACTTACCAAAAAAAGAAAAGTGTATCAAACTTTCAAATACATCCAAAAAGAGAGATTAGCAAACATTAAAATATGGTGGAAATATTAATTTTTAAAAGAGTTGTCCTTATGTTTTATTGAAAATAGAAGTCATTGACTCAATAAATAAAAGTTAGCTTCTTGACATGATCATCATTGGCACATACATCACTTTTACCCACAATAGTTGAGCTCTTATGTATAGCACTATAGCTTCATCACGTTTGCTAAACATTCTCTTTTTTCTGCCTTTATTAAAAGAAATGTTGGGAGGATGAATACTATATTCTGATGATGAACTAATGTCTCAGAGACTTTCAATGTCATTTGAACCTTTTGTAACACCATTGACAGTCTGTTTTGAAAAAATTAAATCCGTGAAACGAAGACTAAAAAATGAAGACCAAATATTACCCACCAACTTGTTTTAGCACTAGAAGAGGATTCATCTGACATATTCTCACAAAAGTAAAAAAAAAAATAGGCTTTTCTAAAGCCTTATTTCTCCAACGATTCACTATATGACGACTAGATATTTCTCAAACACCCATACCTTTTATAATGAATAAAAATGACAATACAATACATCTTCCTTCTCAAACATCTTGCAAGAGCAAGAACTATGATGATTAACTAGATTATAGGTAACTTCATATGTTTCGCGAACAATATTATCAACAATAGAAACATGATCCAACATCGATTCATTAGTAGTGAAGCCTTAAATACCACAAGAAAAACATGCAGCTTTCCAAAGAAAGGAAAGCTTCTTATGTGAAATATAGTGGGGTATATAAATTTCAAAAGCATGCTTCTTAAATGGCAAGGATGTTAGCAATTGAGAGAATGATTACTTCAAATTCGCCTGCAATTGGTCATAACTATAGCATTAAGTCCCTCAATCACAGTTTAAAAATAAGATGCAAAACTCAACCAAAGAAAGGAATAGGTCCAAAACGTGGCCAAAAATAATATTTTCACTCCAATCTTTAAATAGATTTCAAGATTTCACCTAAACATATATGTCTAAATATATGAAGGAATCAACATTTCTTTAATATTAAAAGAAATTAGAAACCAATCATGTTTCTCTAATCCAAAATCTAACACGATAGACAACCAACCAATGATAAATTCATCTGACTCTACATCACGATTCCATACAACAGCATTCAAACGCGAAAGAAAATTAGTTTCATCACAAAGTATATGTTTCGCCTTGTCAAATACTTTGGGTATAGCTATTTCATAGAGGGTATTGATCTGTTATCATACTTATAGTCTGACAACCACTCATACACCTCAAAAACGTTTCCATACCCCATGTAGAAGAATTGATGTCCTCATTTGTAATCAAAGCACAACCAAATGTAATACATTTTTTGTGATTATCCATCTCTGTAAAAGGTGAAAAAACAAAAGAATATTTGTTCGTGTTAAATGTGGAATCACAAGTTACCGTATCACCAAATAGTGCATAATGTTTCCTGCACAATGCATCTCCCCAAAAAAATCTAATCGATTTCTGAATGTCATCAACCACATAATAAAAAACCCTACTACAATGAACAACATTTTGCTCAAAATCACGACAGCAATTCTTAAGATCAACCAAAGAAGTTCCAACTTTTGCATACCTAGTAACATGTTCTTTCATCATATGAAATGACAAACTAGGTCCTTTGTTAAGCTTTCATTATCAAATATAAATTTCATGCACAATAGTGAGATTACGGTTTTGCGTCTCAAACATTTAACTCTTAGAAATAGTAAACTGATATGTATGTGTCTCGTGAAAATAGTAAACCGTATATGAAGCACATGATGATAAACGGATTTTAATACATGTGTCACAAACCATTCTCTTAAGTGCAATTTACCGAGATGTGTTTTGACCAAAATTAATTTTTTCAGCTTTAGGAACACGATTTTGGTTGTCACTATCCTCATTAAAGTCATGCTTGTTGTAAAGAAAATATTTCCTTAAAATAGTACCATCTCGATGCTTATTTTCAGTTTCTAAGCCTACTTCAAATACACAGATACTAGCATAGACATTGTAAAAATTCAAAGCATCTCTTAATGAACATAAAGAGATACCAACAAATGAATTAAGATCAGCTAGGCAAGTAGGAATCCATTCTTTAAAAGAAACGTATGAGCTCAAACATGGAGTGGACGTAACATGAACGACAACATCACCTTGATCCATTATATTGAAAAACTAATAACAAAAACTAGAGCAACAAAACGTAAGCTAAGAGAGCATATATTATTATTCATTATGCCAAAAAAACATCATAAAATAACAGAGCTAAACGTAAGCTAACACATCACAAATGGAACATTAAAATAACATAAACATCAGGTTGCACAAGAGAGCTATCAAATAAAAATAAATGATTTTGATTTAAAAAACAAAAGCAATAATAATGCACACACTAGTGGTGAGAAGAAATCGATCAAGCAAAAATTAGGAAAAAATGATTAGTTTAATATTATATAAACAAAAACTAACCAGATGAAAGTGGAAATTCGGAGAATTCTGTAATACAATCTTCTCCGTAGTGAGTCAGAGAGAATAGCAAGGCAGAAAAAATACAATCTTCTCCGTAGTGAGTCAGAGAGAATAGCAAGGCAGAAAATTGTGAAGATTACAAATACTGATTGAATCGTTTTATGAGAACATTGAAGATGAAACAGAGTGATGGATGATGAAGAAAGAGTTTGACGGATGAACAATTTAGATCTGGATGAGGGGATCGGTCGAATACGATAAAAGGTATAAAGATGGTTATAATAATGAAATGTCATTAATGAAAGACGGAAGATCGAAGGGAAAGTGCAATGCACATGGGCCGAGATGAGGGAATCGGACGACATAAATAACTTCTCAGTTTTCAGTCTAAGGTGAACTTCTCATGGTATCTTTTCTCCCTGTATATAAAGGCATATATGTGTGTGCGCGCGCGAGCGCATATATAGAGTGTTATTCATGTCCGACTGGACCGGACAGGAGGGCTGGCCACCTCATTTGGGGGACTGGGGTTGTTCCCGGTGGTATTTTTTGAGTATGTTTCTCATGAAGTGCAGACTAAATTTGATAAACAAATTCAATCGAAAAGACAGTCAAATGATTTTTGGAAGAAAACTGCGTCAAAATATACATATAAAATGCAGTTATCTCCCAAAAATCATTTGAATGTCTTCCGGGTTGAATTGTTTGCTCAAATTTGGTAGAGATCATCTATCATGAGTAACATACTAAAAAATTTTGAGCAAAAAATACCACAGGGAACCACCTCAAACCAAGGTGGCTGGACCACCCTCCGGTTGAATTATTGAATTTTTTGTTAAGTAATTCTCCGCGCGCACACACACATGTAAGGAGCGGTTCCGGTGAGAAAAAAGAGTCTCAGGAGAGAATTGAAAATTAATCTGGACCGTTAGATTGTTTTATGTGACACTGAATTATGCATTTAGTGAAACTGAAATGTGCATTAGATGAAATTGAAATGTGCAGAATAATATGTACAACTCAAATGCGCATTAGGTGAAATGGAAATGTGTAGAATAAAATAAAAGGTACAAAAATGGCATCACATCGTGCCTTTTTTTTAACATTTTAGTTTAACCTAATGCACATTTAAGTTTCACCTAATGCACAATTCAGTTTCACATAATGTCACTATATAGTACTTTTGTGTTACATATATCAATTTCATCCAATACACATTTTAATTTCACCTAATGCACATTGAATTTTACATAATACTACCTTCGTGCCAAAATAATTAGTCAAATCCAAAACTTTGACCAATAATATATATTTATTGGAAATTATTTATAATACTCCCTCCGTCTCATTGGACTTTGCCAATTTTCCTTTTTTTGTTGTCCCAAAAAACTTTGCCACTTTCCTATTAAAGCAACTAATTTGTGGTTCTGCACATTTCTCTCTCCTCTGCACAAATCTCAACCACACAATTTTGGAAAAATTGAAAATAATAATCCCAACTATTGCCGGTCCGCCAATAATAATCCCAACTATTGATTATTTTTGTATAATCCCAACTATATGGACCGTCCGCCAATAATGGTCCATGACCAAATATTACCTCCTATAAAAAGTGAATTTTAAATAGAAATTAAGCATAAAAATTAAAAGTTGGGATTATTTATAGGGATTACTTGTTATATCTCTTCTCATCCACTTTAGAAATTACAACAATTTATTTATAAGGACCATTATTGGCGGAAGGTCCCTAAAGTTGGGATTATTCTGAAATAATTGATAGTTGGGATTATTATAGGCAGATCACCAATAGTTGGGATTATTACTATCAATTTTTCCCACAATTTTTACTATTCTTATTTCTCACCTACTTTGCACTTGGCAAAGTCCACCAGGACGGAGGTAGTATAAAATTGGTGTGAACATGTTCTTTGTTAAAAGTGCTTTCATAAAAGTATAAAGTTTATAACTTTCATAATATTATACTAATCAAAGTTAAAAAGCACTTCCCAATAGTGTTTGCAAACAGAGCCTTAATCTCTGATTCTACTAACTTTTGAAAACCATTTAAGCAGATCAACATAACAATGCAATGAATGAATACAGACTTCAATGAATGGCCTATAAATGTACCTCTCTTTTTCGACAAGTACTACACTTGAAATATCATCAGGAGCTCTTCCAGATCTCCTCAACAGCTTCTTGCCAGCTTCGCTCTGTAGAGCTTCAAATCGGATTCTCCTGGCAATAGACTAAAACATTATTTTCATGTTTGTTAGATGAAAGAGATCTGCAAGACATTATTTTTCTTTTTAAAGTAATTTCCATGTTTGTTGTTGCATCAAATCACTACATCATCATCATCATTACCCCAGTGCCGCAAAGGCTCCTACCTACGGGTGGGGTAAGGGGAATCAGATGTATGCAGTCTTGCCCTTGTACTGAAGCACAAAGAGACCAGTTTCCGGATGACCCATAATGAAAATCGCATTTTCATAACAAAGAAGCGTAGACAGTTTAGTGAGTCATTTTACTTTATTCCATCATATTCCAAAACAAAAAAAATAGTGAGTTTTTAGCTCCATTGCAAATGATGGAACGTGTTGCATCAAATCACTAAAAATAAATAAATAACCCATTCCAAAATATAGTGATAATAATAAATCTATTATATTATCAGAGAGATTTGATAGAATTCCCTTTGAACTACTTTGATTTCTTTTCATTCAAACAAAATAATAAAAGAAATGGGAGGAACACCAACCTCCGGCTATCATTACCACGGACAAACTTCACACCTCCATTACATAAATTGCATACGCCTATGGATCAAAGGAGACGAAATTATTGCTTATTTTTAACCAGATGGAAATTGTACAGGTATCTAGTACGCCCTGGTTTCATGATGAGTAGAATATGATTTTATTAATTAATGCAAACCCCAAATTCCCAATAGTAGAGATTGAATTGGGATTGGTACAAATATAATATAGGGGAATTTGACTTTGCACCTCACATTTGGGATGATATTGGACTTTGCACCTATTTTAAAAAAACTTTGATTTTGCTCCACATTTCACTTCAAAATCCTTTGATTTTGCACCCCATTTTGAAATTTTCCTTCACAAATATTAGATGATAGGGTGCAAAGTCAAAGGTTTTTTGAAATGGGGTCCAAAGTCCAATATCCCCAAAAAATGCGGTGCAAAATCAAATTCTCCCTATAATATATCCTAGTTATATTCCAATCTCAAGCAACTAGAACTACAAATTCAGTTTCTTGCAAATAATAACAGCTCATATATCATCATCATCACCAAAAGGCAAGGATTTTCTCAGAGAGAGATACTAGTAATCACTTAGACAAAAGACTCGATTGGGAACTGCTCTCTTTGAGGCATACCGTCGAACAACATGATGGGGCGAGTGTCCTCTTCGAAGAATTCGGCAGTTGCCTCTACCCAATCCACCGCCTTCTCTCCTCCTCTGCTCGGCGGGGATAATAGAGCGGCAGAAATAGAGAGCCGCCGTCTCTGCACGTTCGCCGAGGGGGTTACGGGCAGACGTGAGCACGCAGCCGGTAGAGCTAGCGCCATCTTCACCTCGTTTGCTATATGCTACTACACTTCCCAACCACGGACCGGATACAGACAAAAACAAAACTTATTTATCAATGATAAAAAAAACTTATCAGATAAATCAAAAGAAATGCTGAGGTCCACCCCTCTCAACTCTAGCACCCGTCCGAACTCCGCCGTTTAGGGTGGTTTCCGGTGGAATTATTTTATGAATTTTTTTGAGCATGCCTCTAGTTTGTTCATATCAAATTTCAGCTCAAAATTCGATCGGGGAGACATTTAAATCACTTTTTGGAAGTTGACTGCATTTTTATATGTATATTTTGGCGCAGTCAACTTTAAAAAATGATTTGAATGTCTTCCCGATCGAATTTTGAGTTGAAATTTGGTATGAACAAACTAGACTTGATGAGGAACATGCTCAAAAAAATTCATCAAAAAATTCCACCGGGAACTGCCCCAAACGACAGAGTTCGGACGGTTGCTTCCGTCCCTCCGGATGGACCTGAGCATTCCTCGATAAATCAATACTACCTCTGTAACGATATCTTTCCACTTTTCTTTTTTGGACGCAGTACTAATATCTTCCTATTTCTAAATCTTCTCCTCATACCCTCAATAATTTTAAAAATAATACACTATTACACCTACTTTTTTTGGATTTATCCCTTATTCCAATACATTATTTCACTATCTTCCCGCCAAGTCACAGGTTCGAATTACATTCCAGTTCAAGAATGTTAGCATTAACAATGAGCAGATACTATATAGGTTAGAAAGAATTGTCCGAAAAAAGTATCTTCTCATCATATCCCCAATAATACATATCTTCTTTCACTATTCTTAATATACCTACTTTTCAAATGAGAACATCCCGAGGTTACGGAGGTAGTACAATAGTTTATTGTTCGAATCTTCTTCTTTTTTTTTTTAATTTGAAGCTACAGTGGATGAAATATAGAATCGAATGACTTTCAAAAATTAAACAAATTCACTAATCCCACAATTATGTAGACTAATGATGTTTTTACTTAGATAATATAAGTAAAAACAGGTCATTGCAGACCAGACCAACAGAGTTCAATCCAAGTAAAAACATCATAACAAGAATCATGACTCCCCCCAACCACTAGAAAAGGAGAATTGATTTGACCAACAACCAATAGGTGATTTAGGTGGAGGGCGAGTAATTGAAGCCTCAGAACAAGAAGGTTGGATTTTTTTGCCAACCATGAACGACAAAAATTTACCAAGGATTACAACGATGAGAAACACAAAACCTTTAGGAGAATAATGAGGTATATATATCATATTGATTCATATATGTCTAAAATAAAAAAATGGATAATATATAATTTTTTATATTTTGGAGATTATAGTTGTAACCTTAATGATATGGACATTTTCAATTTTACAACAATGCCTATGAATATTTAGTCATATTTTTATTCACAAATTATATTTAGTAACATTTAGAAAAGGACCTCATTTGTTATTTCCTAGTGGGAGAAATAGATATATAGCCTTTTAAGTTAGCATACATAAAATTAATAGCGATCGTTTAGTGCACTCGTACTCTGTATGAGATTTTCATTTAGTGCACTCGTGTAATGGTTTAACCTTGTAATGGTTTGACCTAAAAGTATCACGATTCCTAATGAGACGGTTTCACATACTACCTTCGTCTCGTTGAAAGCTTCTCATGGCAAATTGGCACAATTATTTAGATAATAATTAAATAAAGTCGGTTTGAGTATTAGGCGTGACACCTATTAGGTGTGACAATAGGCGGCCTAGTCCAAACACAAGCCTTCTAAGGCTGATTGCAATGGAGGGGGTGAAAATCCCAAATGTGAGGTTTTCACCCCAAAAGAGCTGCAACCCATATGTTTTTTCGTAGATGAGGGTCTCATCGCCAATAGATAAAACGGGTGGGAGGGGTTTCTATGCGGTGCTTTGACTCCGCTGGTGGATCTGGCATGCGCAGTGGGCTGACATCCGCAGGACAAAAGAAATGGTCAGGGACGGAACACGTAGCATTCACGTGCTTTTCTTTGTGCTGCTGGGAAATAATTCAAAACAAATTGGTAGCTACATCCGACGACCATAATTGATTCAAAAGCAAAAAGAAAAAATTAGGTACATCCCACAGCTACATCCGACGACCATATATTTCACTGTCCTTTTTGTTTAGGATTTCTTCCTCTTTTTTAATTATCGTACCGAATATTATGTGTGTTTCTAATAATTGATTGTTGGTATTTTGATTTTACATGTGTTTAATTGATTTAAATTTAATATTAAACAAGTTCATAGTATATAAAATGAAAAATTAATAATATAGAAATATAGAAAACAAATCATAGTTTTAAATTTATTTCAAATTTACGATAAAAAAATTATTTCAAATTTTTCTCAAGTACGCATTTTTAATACTAAAAAAATTCACATTTTTTATTTTTTTACATCCGAATGTTTGAATTTGTAAACAATAATTATTGGTCAAAATAAAATTAATACATAAATGATATGTGATGAAATAACTAAAGATTTATGCATTAAATACAAAAAACAATGTGTTGAGTAAGTATATTGACGGTGCTGGGTTGCAGAGAAATATTGAATTGACTGAGTGAATACGTATAAACTGGAGGGGAATTAGATTTATTGACGGGATGGGTTGCGGTTAGCCTAAGGGCCACTTCGAAGTCGTGCAATAGCTGGCAGCTCAAGTTGTAAATGAATGATGACTCTCACGCTCAAGTATAACTCCCCTTTATAACTCCACACGGCGGACAAAGTTTCCTTTTCAACCGTTTTGGGAAATTTAATTTCAGTAAAAGAGTTCAAAGACAAATATGTAGACGCCTGCTTTGAGATTTCAACTCGGAGATATACGTAGTACTATAATAATAGAAGAGAAAATTATCAAAAAAGCATCCATACAATATGAGAAACATCGATTACGCCCTCATACTCTAAAATCACCCAATTAACTCCTCAACGTTACAGAAGACATTCAAATCAGCAATTTAGTCGATCAGTTTCCGGTTTGCCAGTTAGCAGCTCACTTGTCGTCTACGTGTCACTATTTTTAATTCATTTTGTATAGTCTTTTGTTAGGAAAAGTCAATCCATTTCTTCCTCTTCTATCATATCGAGGTCATACGCTCCCTACAATCAATCTATATTCTTTGTAGACAACAAATCGATCGGCGAGAAGAAATTGAAGGATTAATCTACTCCCCGCCGACAATGAATTCCAATCCGGCCTGCTAGTATATGTAGGGACTGTTTGCAACCAGGGGTGGAGCCAGACTTCACTACAAGGGGGTGAAATATATTACAAGTATTAAAGTGTAATGGAAAATTTGGTCACATAAATTATTTTGTGTCAATTTTTAGTTCTGATACTTCACTTGCTCGTAAATTTAGTCATTTAATTAATAATTTTTTGCAATTTAAGTACTTCCACACTCGAAAGTATATTTTCCTACTGATAATTCATCGCAAAATAGGCTTCCAATGTCGAATTTTTGGCCAGAAAATGTACTTTCTGGTGAAAAATTATTAAACTGCAAAGACCTATTAATTAGAGGACCTAACCAACATGTAAATAAAGTTACGGAACTAATAGTGGGGACAACAAAAAATTACATGACCAAAATTGCAAATCTCTCAAAGATAAAATTTAATATATAAAATTTAAAAATACAGAGACTTGCATCTTAATTGCCTAATTGCTTTCATAATTTGGGGGCATCTTAATTGCCTAATTCGCTCATAATGGGGGCAAATAATTTCTAATAGTATAACTTTAAAAAAAAGTGGGAGGGGCCATGCCCCCTAACCTATAACATAACTCAATCCCTGTTTGCAACCGCTTCTCCTTAAAAAAAGCACTTTTGGAATGATTTGGAAAAAGTGATTAGTACTAAAAGTTGATAGTGTTTGGGAAAAAAGTGATTTTGAAAAGTAAAAGTTGGTAGTGTTTGGTAAAATAAGTGTTTTTTGTGTAATAGAAAAGAGAAAAACACTTTTCACACGAAAGCCGAGAAAAAAGTAAAATTGGAAATGTTTGGTAAATAAGTGTTTTTTTAAGCCAAAAGCTGAGAAGTGCTTTTTTAATCTGTTGCAAACCAACCCGTAATTTCTTATAACTTCGTATTTTTATTTTTATTCATTTTGGATGAATATTAAGTCATCTCCCATGACCAAAACGTGGGGGTGAGGTCCATAAGCTCTACTTTGCAGAAGCATATCACAGACGTGGTGGAGTATATAGACAGATCAGTTGACTTTTGCTTTAAAAACTTACTCGAATTTATACAAAAATAATAATAAGAAAATACATGTGACACATGGTAAGTGGTAACAGGGAAACCGGGAGGTGATGGGCTGAATAGCTAATTTGAACATTGAATAGCTAATTTGAACATTTTAAATAAGTTTGAGGGCTTCATTTAGTGGTTTTGAAATATAAGAGCTTAATTGACATTTTTTAGGAACCAAAGTACTTGCATCTGCACTTTAAACTTTTGAGAAATTTACAAGTATCTTTTGTTAGAAAAATGAAACATATAATGTTTTTGCATGACTTTTTTCTCTATTTACATTAACATACTTACAAAGAGTTCTAGGAAATTTTAAAAAATTACTAAAAAACCCAAAACGCCTTTTCATGCCTAGGCGACACATAAACTCGCCTAGACTTTTAAGGCTCGAGGCTCGGTCCTGCCGCCTTGGCACCAGGGGCGGATCTACTTGGTAGATAGTGGGGGCAAGTGCCCCCAATAAAATTCCTTAGCTTTCATATATAATAAGGTAATTTGTAACTAAAAAATAATTTGCCCCCAATAAAATTTTTAGATTGCCCCCAATAAGAAGCATATTGGTTATTATAAGTATGTTATTAAATTAAACAAATAGCAAAATCCTACTCATTTTAAATGCAACTCTTTTATAAATGAGTGAATCAATTAATAAGCAAAAAGTAACGCTCTCTCCGTCCCGCAATTAAATTCACACTTTGACTTCACACAGATTAAGAGCATCTCCAATGCTATAATGTTCACGGTGCACATGTGGCATGAGTGATAGCCACATAAATATTAGCATATAAATTATCTTTCTCCTTATTTGAATGATTTTATACAATTTTGTTAAGTTTTTTCCTGCAATGTCAACAACAA